TTTTTTTTTTTTTTTTTTTTTTTTTTTTTTTGAGACAGGATTTCATTATGTAGTACAGCTGGCCTTGAACTCACTATATAACTCTGACTGGCCTCAAACTTGTGGCCATCCTTCTGCTTCAGCCTCCAGAGTACTGGAGTTACAGGAATGCACTGCCACACCTGGCACTTAAAGTATTAATAGTTTTTAGCATTTCAAGAACTAATCAAAGCCAGGTGTGGTGGTGCATACCTATAATCCCAGCACTCAGGAGGCTAGGGCAAGAGGATAGCTTAAGTTTGAGGCCAGCCTGGGCTATAGAGCAGGACCCTGTCTCAAAAAAACAAAACAAAGCAAAATAAAACAACTAATAAAAGACATAGATATATAGATTTAGGAAGCACAGTATGTCCAAAGTAATCTACATTTTTTTAAAAATCCAAATCGTACTCATACATTGAAAAAAAAATTTTTTTTTGGTCTTTTTGAGATAGGGTTTCACTATGCAGTTCAGTCTGGCCTTGAATTCACTTTGTAGCCCAAGCTGGCATCAAACTCAGTGGTGATCCTCCTGCCTTAGCCTCCTGAGTGCTCGTATTACAGGCATCCACCATGTCCCACCATACATTGGAACTGTGTAGAAGCAGACCTAGAAAGAAGATACTGAGCTAGAGGTAAAATACTATCTAAATAGGAACATCAAGTAGGCTGACAACAAGTATCTCATCAGCATGAATAGAAGCCAAGCTGGGTGTGGTGGGGCATGCCTGTAATCCAGTAAGTGATGAGAGAGTACAAATATCAATATGGAATTGTGTATCAGGAAAATTTTTAAAGAAAAACATATGTAATATTGAGCTGTCTTCTACTCACTTCTCACTCTATGGAAAACAACTAAAATTACTGAATTACAAATAATCAGAGAACTAACAAGATAGCAAGGAGCTTTTAGGTCAAAATCTTAACAGAAAGTAGAAACAAAGAAAGGTCATGTAAGCACCATGGCATGGAAAATCTTCCTTTGCTCTCAGGGTGTTTGCCAACCTGGAAAAAGTGGGGCTGTCACTTTAGAGGACTTAGAGTAGTTAAGGTCTCTGACTTCTCAAGGCAGAGAGCCTAGAGGAGAGCTCCCCACGCTACAGGGTTAGAGTGGATTTTCTGCCCCCCACCTGGCTGTCTTTTTACTGCATGTAGCAGGAAAAAAAGAAAATGTGGAAACCATATCTCTGGGAATTATGGTCATGGGTTTGCCTTTCTGAGCATTTTTCACCCAGCTTTATATTAGGTAGTAATTCAGAAAAATCAAGGCTGAATTTAAGGTGTTTTGGTGTGATAATGCTTTCAGGCTTCCTACAAGAGCAGACTTAAAACCTCTTTGGGGAAGGTTATTTTCATTGGAAGATATAAAAAATCTCTATTGACAATTTTTTAAAGACAATGATTAGTAGTACACAGACAGAAATACTAAGTGCACAAGAAAATAAGGCATCATGAGTTAGAATCAGTAGAAACAGCCCCTCAAGGCTTCATTTATTAGAAGAACCAGATACAGGAGGATTACTTAAGCTCAGGAGTTTGAAGCCAGTATGGGCAGTGTCACAAAATTCCCATGTCAAAAAATAAAAAAAAATTATTCAGTATGTGGACTTCTTCTGCACCCCAATACTGGGGATCAAACCAGAGGTTCTATCATTGAGCTGTATCTCCGGCCCTTTTTATTTTTTATTTTGAGACAGAGTCTGACTAAATTGCCCAGTGGACTTTAACTTTCAGTCTTTCTGTCTGAGCCTTCCTCAGTGCTGGGATTATAGCTGTGCCACCACACCTGGCTAGTATATGGGGTTAAGAACAAATTGTATGTCAGGTGTGGTGGCCCATGCCTGTGATCTCAGTATTTGGGAGGCTGAGGCAGGAGGATTACCATGAGTTTGAGGCCAGCCTCGGCTACATAAGCAAGTTCAAGGCCAGCGTGGTGCTTGCTTTGACAGTACATATACTAAAAAGGCCATCTGCACTATATAATGAGACCCCATCTAAGAACAAACAAATAGACAGACAAAGAAACAAAAAACAAAGACCAAATTATATGTACTGAAAAGAAAATTAGTGAATCAGACAGGTGAGAAGTAACTACACAGAACAAAGCACAGAGAAAATGATGGAAAACAAAGGAGAGGGTAAGTGACCTGGACCATTGAGTAAGAATACATTTCATGTTGAGTAAAATACATTTCATTAGTATTCTATAAGGAGAAAAGAGAAAATGGGCACTTTTTTTTTTTTTTTTTTTGGTCTTTTTGGGGCAAGGTTTCGCTATGCAGTTCAGGCTGGCCTTGAGCTCACTTTGTAGCTGAGGCTGGTCTCAAACTCATGACGATCCTCCTGCCTCAGCCTTCCAAGTTCTGGGATTAAGGTGTGTGCTACCACACCTGGCAAAAGAGAGTCAAATTGCAAAGCACCAAAGACAAGGATCTTAAAATGAACCAGAAGATAAAGACAGATTAACTTCATTTGAGCAGTAGTTAGACTGATGGTTTGTAGTAGTCAGCTTTCTGTTGCTGTGACCAAATACCTGAGAAAGCAATTTAAATTGTGGAAAAAGGTTGGCTCTTGGTTTCAGAGGTCTCAGTTTGTAGTCTGCTGTTCCCATGGATTTTGTGCCTGTGGCAGGCTGAGAGCATCACGGAAGAAGCACATGGTGGAGCAAGTGGCTAGGGAAGCAAAAGAGAGAAGGATGAAGGGGTTGGGTCCTGGCACCCTTTCAAGGGCACATCACCAGTGACCCACACAAACAGAAGTAGTAAATAAAAAATAGTGAAATTTCTTTTTTTTTTTGTCCTTTTGAGACAGGGTCTCATTATGCAGTTTCGGCTGGCCTTGAGCTCACTTTGTAGCCTAGGCTGGTCTCAAACTCACAGTGATCCTCCTGCCTCAGCCTCCCGAGTGCTGGGATTACAGGTGTGTGCCACAGTGCCTGGCTAACCTCTTTAATTTTTATAAAGAAAATTCACCAAAACAATTTTTTAAGCAAATACTGACTTGATGCTGTTTTGAAAACTCTCTGAAAGTGGGAATAATATGGGATGCTCACTTTTGCCACTTCTACTGAGGATTATAGTGGAGGTTTCACCCAGCCCAGTAAATCAGAAAAAGGGCAACAAGATACAGGGATTTGAGGGCCAGGTATGGTGGTGCACACCTGTAATCCCAGCACTTGAAAGGCTGAGGCAGAGGGGTCACCACAAGTTTGAGGGCTAGCCTGGGTTACACAGTGAGTTGAAAGCTAGCCTGAACTACATAGTGAGACTCTGTCTCAAAAAAAAGATAAAGGTATGCAAATAGAAGAAACACATTGTTATTCATTGATGATATTGTTATGTAGAAAATCTAAAATGATCTTTAGATAATTTACATCAATAATAATTTAGCAAATTTCTGGATACAAAATCACTTTACAAAAATAGATAACCCTGTATCATCACCAAACACACTGAAATTAAAACATAGTATATACCAGGCTGGGGGTGGTAATTTGGAGGCTGAGGCAAGGAGATCAGGTGTTCGAGATCATCCTGGGCATCTTAGCAAATTCAAGGCCAGACTAGACTACATAGCAAGACCTTGTCTCAAAACAAAACAAAAATGTATACAGTAGAATTACAAGTACAAAGCATATAGGATAAATGCAATAAAAATGTGCAAGATGTCTTGGAGAACACTGTTCAGTTGTGAGAAGAGTTAAAGAAGAATTGGTAGACAGGAAGGTAATCCTGGTTTTGTATTGAAAAACTCAATTTGTAACTATGCTAGTTCTCCCAAAACTGATGTAGAAATTCAGTGTAATCTCAATAGAAAAATTTAAGAGGGCCAAATGTGATGGCTCATGCTCATGTAATCCCAGCAGTCTAGGAGGCTGAAGTGGGAGGATTGTAAATTTGAGCCCAGCCTAGGCAACTTAGTGATTTTTTTTTTAATTTTTTTTTTTTTTTTTTTGGTTTTTCTCTGGTACCAGGAACCGAACTCATGACCTTGCACTTGCCAGGCAGGCGCTTTGCCGATGAGCTAAATCCCCAGCCCCTTTTTTTTTTAAATTTTTGAGACGGTTTCCTTGTGTAGTCCAGGCTGGCCTTGAACTCATTATGTAGCTCACCCTGGCCTTTAACTTGCAGCAATCTGCCTTAGCCTCATGAGTGCTCAGATTATAGTCATGTACCACCACACCCAGAAATTTAGCCAGACTATCTCAAAATAGAAATAAAAGGGATGAGTGAGGTAGCTCAGTGTGAGGCCTTGTGTTTAATCACTAGGTTTTCTTTTTTTTTGAGACAGAGTCTTGCTATGTAGCTCAGGTTGGCCTTGAACTCACTATGTAGCCCAAGCTGGTCTCGAACTCGCAGCAATCCTCCTGTCTCAGCTTCCCAAGTGCTGGGATTAGAGGTGTGCACCACCATACCTGGCTAGGTTTTCTATACTGGGCTCAAATTTGTGATTCTCCTGCCTCAGACCAGTGGAATCGCTGAATCAGGTGTGTCCATGTTTAGTGACTTATTTTCTGAGGCCCAAGGAAGCAGTTCCTGGGTTCCACAGCGTCAGTGCTCTCAGCATGTCCGAGTGTGATAGTACCAATGTGATACCCTGCAGGAGGGGCTGCAAGGAGATAGGTGGTCAGCTTGCCACTCTGGTACCATGAGCATGGTGGCCTTATCTCTGTCTCCTTCTCTTACATAGAAGGTCTTTTTTTGAGACAGGATCTTGCTTGTTATATATTCCAGCCTGCCCTTGAACTTACTATGTATCCCAGGTTGACCTTGAACCTGCAGTGTTTCTCCTGCCTCTGCCTCCCAAGTGCTGGGATTACAGGCATGTGCCACCATGCCCAGCTTATAGTTTGGATTTTTAATTTCCTCTTAGCAACAGTCTCCACCGCAGAATGTTCTGGTTTAAAGGGATCCTTCAGAGAACTATAGGATCATATGGGGCAACATTTCTGTTTGAAATTCACTTCTTGTCTGATGGATCTGCTACCTTGAAAAGGTAAATAAATAAACAGAACCTCAAGTTCCTTTCCCTTAACTCTTTTTTTTTTTTTTTTTGGTTTTCCTCCGGTACCGGGAACCGAACTCACGACCTTGTGCTTGCCAGGCAGGCACTTTTGCCGCTGAGCTAAATCCCCAGCCCCCCTTTCCCTTAACTCTTGAGTTTGTGGGTGAGTGTGTAGAGGATCTTGGCAGAGCAGTCTTGAGGGACTCTTGAGGGCATTTGTCAGGATGGGCAGAATCGTCCTGCTGTATCGGTGCCCCACACAGAAGAAGCAGGAGTCTTTCTAGTGAACAAGCTGCTTATTCAAGGATGCAGTCAGAGGTGACCTTTGAATCAGTCAGAGAAGGAAGATGAGGGCCCTCACTGAAGGCAGGCACCCGTCTAAAGGGCAGGAGTGGTTGCTGGGGTATGAGAAATGTTTGGAAGAGCTGTGTGCAGTGTATCTGAGCAACTGCTTGGGAATCAGTTCTTTTCCCAATGAAATTAGCTGCAGTGGAACGAGTACTGTTTCAGTGAATCCTTAAAGGATGCCACTGATGCAATAATTTTGAGTATTGTGCTTCTTAAAATGCATGGGTAGCTGACAGAAGTGTAGAGGGATTTTTAAAAATTTAACACAAATTGATGGGCATGGTGGTACACACCTGTAATCCGAGCACTTGGAAAGCTGAGGCAGGAGGATTGCTGTGAGTTGAAAGCTAGCCTGAACTATGTATTGAGATCCTGTCTCAAAAAACAAAATTAAAAAAAACAAAAAAATAATGTAACGCAAAGCACAATTCTGATTTGAGCCAGTTAGACAAATAGCTGATCTTGAGTAACCTGGTTTTATTTTTATTATTTTTTTTGTCTTTGTGAGACAGGGTCTCACTATACAGTTTAAGCTGGCCTTGAGCTTACTTTGTAGCCTAGGTTGGTCTTGAACTCGCAAAGATCTTCCTGCCTCAGCCTCCCCAGTGCTAGGATTACAAGCATACACCATCCTTATTGTCTCTTTACTTTGGCAAGGTTAAAAAGTTGGTAACTCTCTGTTTTGTCTTGTTGATAATACTGGGGATTGAATTGAGGACCTTCACATTGGGCTAGCTTTCCAGCCCTTATTTATTTATTTATTTATTTATTTATTTTTACTTTTTTTGAGACAGAGTCTCATTATGTAGTCAAGGGTGGCCTCAAACTCATGGCAGTCCTCCTGCCAGAGCCTCCCGAGTGCTGGGATTGCAGGTGTATGCCACCACACCTGGCCCACTGCCATTTTTATATTTTTTTCTGAGACAGGGTGTTGCTAAGTTGCCCAAGTGGGATGTGAACTTGCAATTCTACTGCCACAGCCTTCGTAAATGCTAGAATTACAGGTGTGTACCAGTGCTCTAGGCTTTTTTTTTTTTTTTTTTTTTTT